CATCTAGGTGGGATTCATGTGAGGATTCGCCATTCAACAGGTCATCTGCTCCCCATTTAAGCTTACTTAGCCAAACTTTCAGGTGTATTTGATCCAGAATCCGTAGTCCATCACCCTTGTAGTCTATAACCTTTGGTCTACAAACTTTAACCTAGTCTATCAACAAATAGTGTACTTCCATTTAGTCAAAATCAGCTATAACTTCCATGTACTTATAGTCACAAGAGCCTTTGGCTCCTGGCAAAGAGGTTGTAGTCATAGCCCCCGGTCACCAAGACTTTCGTGGAGCTCGCAAACGCCATGCACCGCACCTCAGGGGCACCAGGGCACCAGGGCACCAACAAAAAATCAGCATTTCCTGGGTCTGCCCCGCTACTTGGCTCGCAAAGCTCGCGAATATAACTCACGCTCGTGGGTGCTCGCAAAGCTGAATGAGTTCATTGCCACTCGCAATTGGATCGTGCCTAGATCCAATTCAGGAGTCCCGATGCGTTCACGGTTGCCAGCTCCCCCTTGCGTTGCCAGCCCCAAATCTCCAGGAGAGAACACCACCTGTGTTGGTCGCAGAGACACCCCGAGAAACGGAAACGCAAGAAATATCACTGCATATCACTGCCATGAAAATAGATGGGTCTGGTAACTGGGGCATAAACCATCTTTAGGCAGTGCCATGTACTTCTACCCAAGACTAACCTCAAAAAATAAGGCACCTAAGCACTGCAGAAACACCCGGTCGCAAAGACACCCCCAGAAAAGTAACAGCAAGAAAGATCACTGCACCACCCCAAGGCAAAAGGAAAGCCCAAAACGTGAGAAATCAGCCCATCTCGAGTTCGAAATCTCCTGAGGCTCGGGCGCCCATGTCGTGGCCCCGCAGGGTGCGCTTCCACATGCCGGTGAAGACCTCGAAACCGAACAGGAATGAAGCCAGGCGGGTCTGAGACACTTCCCTGAGGCGACCGTTGATTTTGATGGAATGGTCGGGAACTTTGTTGACTGAAAATAGGGATGCTTCCGGATGGGCATTTGCTGAGATGTGTGTGTGTGTGTGTGTGTGTGTGTGTGTGTGTGTGTGTGTGTGTGTGTGTGTGTGTGTGTGTGTGTGTGTGTGTGTGTGTGTGTGTGTGTGTGTGTCGTGAGTGACAGAATGCCCTGTCACCACCTTTTCGGTTTCTCAGCAGGGGGGTCACCCGCAGTCACGACCGGTGACCCAACGAAGAGGGCCGTGACCTGCGCTGATATCTGACCTGATCAGTCAGACGTACCTGCCGAGATGGTTGTGTTGTTCTGAATGTCCTTTTGGTCCCCCCCTGAACTGCCGTTGCTTCTGGGTGTCCCTGTTAAAGTAGCTACAGGGAAGCCAAGCGTTATGCGAGTCGAAGCTCATCATACTCGAGACTCATCAGTTGTACTCGAGACTCATCAGTTGTACTCGAAAGATTAGCACTCTCCATTTGGAGTTTAAGTGTGTACACCCCATTCGTGGGGAATCCTCGGGTGTACCCATTGTGTGACCCCGGGCCGGCTCTGTCGGAAAATTTGACCTCAACGTGCTGATCATAGAACAGCGGAATTTCACATTTAACCAGGAACGAGGTTTCACTAAAAGGAAGACAGCGGTCAGATCATAGAGACGTCTCACCCTCCCTCCTCGCCTTCGTCGTCCGCGTGTCCGTCGTCTTGCTCTTCGCCCGTTTAGGGATGGCTTCTCCTTCCTCCCGTTCCTTCTTCCGGCCTTCCGTCTTCCGCGTGTTGCTGTTCTTCTTCTTGGCCCGTTTAGGGATGGCTTCTTCTCTGCCGCGTTGTTTGCCTTTTTTGTCGTCGTCCTCTTCTTGTTTGCCTATTTGTTCGTGGTCCTCGGTCTCCTCGCGCTGTTTGGCTTGCCGTCTTCGTTCCCTACCGTTGCTTCATCGTGCTCTTCCTCATGGCCCCTCTGCGGGATTCGACGCCCTCTTCCTCGAGCATTGGCTTTGTCCTCGTGTTTCTCTGGGCGGGATGCGTCGCCTTAAATACGCACACTTACTTTCTTTCTTTCTTTCTTTCTTTCTTTCGTTCTTTCTTTCTTTCTCTCTTTCTTTCCCTCTTTCCCTCCTTCTCCCCTTCTCTCGTTTCCTTCCCTTTTCTCCTGTTCCCTTCTTCTTCTCTCCTCTCTCTTCGTTTTTCCTTCTTCCCGGGCGGGATGCGGCGCCCTAAATACGCACCCTGTTTCTTTTTCCCCCCGGGCGGTTGCGACGCCCTAAATACGCTTTCTCTCTTTCTCTCTCTCTCTCTCTCTCTCTCTCTCTCTCTCTCTCTCTCTCTCTCTCTCTCTCTCTCTCTCTCTCTCTCTCTCTCGTTCTTTCTTTCGTTCCTTCTTTTTTCTCTCTCTTTCTCTCTTCCTTTCTTCGTTTCCTCCCCCCCCCCCTTTTCCAACTACTTCCTGTTCTTCCTCTTCGCCCGTCTAGGGATGGCCTGGTCCTCTTCTCGGTCTTCAACTTTGCGGTGGTGGTCGTCTTCCAGGTTTAGGAGGGTTTCTGGGCTGTTTGGGGTTTTTGCCCTCGGCGGTGACCCTAAAACTCGGGTTCCCCTGTTTTTCGTGTTTCTCGGTTGGGATTTTGCCCGCGGAGACCCAACGTGGGGCTTTCTGTTTCTTTTGGGCGCCTGCTCCGTTTGTTTTCTGTTCGGGTCTTCGTCCGTCTTTCGGGCGCTTCTTCTCCCCCCCGAAAAAGTGTTTCTCGCCCCTCATTGAGGGCCGTGACCTGCGCTGATATCTGACCTGATCAGTCAGACGTACCTGCCGAGATGGTTGTGTTGTTCTGAATGTCCTTTTGGTTCCCCCCCCTGAACTGCCGTTGCTTCTGGGTGTCCCTGTTAAAGTAGCTACAGGGAAGCCAAGCGTTATGCGAGTCGAAGCTCATCATACTCGAGACTCATCAGTTGTACTCGAGACTCATCAGTTGTACTCGAAAGATTAGCACTCTCCATTTGGAGTTTAAGTGTGTGTGTGTGTGAAGTCAGATAATGCAATGTAAATGACCTAACTGCCGAACGCCAACCCCGGCGCGGGCTTGGTACACGCTACATATGTGCGAGTTTATGACAATCATTTCTGGGAAGCGCTGCATGAGCCATGCAAATTCGCAACGGACTGATACTGACGGCACTTGCACGTGAGTAATGGCTAAGATTTGTGCACTGGCTGATTTGAGGGAAGCCTGACTGTCCCAGAAAACATTTCCCGCTCAACTGGATCCACCAGTGTTCAGCACCAACAGTTCTCTGGCTGAGGGGTCAGGTGAGAATGTCATCTTGCTCAGGGATGGTCGTGCTCAGATTGTACTCGACTCACCCCATCCACACCGACCCCAACTCAACAGCGGATTTGACCGCCAGGTTAAACACAAACTAGAGAGGGAGCCGGGAATTGTTGCCAGTTGAGGTCTGTAACCAATTGCCCCTGGTGCAAGATCCAATAACATCCTTTTCTCAGCGTTGTTTATGTTTTGGTGACTGGGCAAGTTGGCAATTGCATAAACAGCAAAGGCCTGTCTTTCAAAATGGATTCCAGTGGACGTTTGCTTATTGGAGACTGACCGAATCTGCAAAAGCCATCTAAACAAACTCCTTGTGAACGCAATGCCGCCCTTCAGAACCCTTCCCCCCCCCCTGTTACATGAACTCGACTCACGGAAGTCTGCACTACATCTCTTTCTCGTTGAATCGACCTTGACCTCTGCGGGTTGCGGGGAAGTTGCTCCGGCTTGACTTTGGTGCAGCTCGGCGAAGCCACTGCTCGCTTGAGGCGTGCGTGTTCGATGCGTACAAGACACGCGCAATCCGCTGGGGTGTCAATTGTTATCATTGGCCTCTCTTGACCTCAGAACCGCATTGGCAGGTCCAAGTGCCAATGCCATCCAACATGAAGCCACTGGAACAAACAGCAAGGCAGTGCCCCAAAAAGAACCCCTGCTCCAAATGCCTGTTTTCCCTCTTGGCTTCCCTTGTGCCACCTAAACCCCCCCCCCTATTCACCCCCAACAATAACCATGCTATCATTCGATTAAAGCATCTGCCTGGGAGCTTCTGGACCTTCAGGGAAGGAGGGAGGGCACCGCCATAGCTTCTGGGATCCCACACGTCCCAGGTCATCACCTGAGACGGTTTTTTTTTTTGCCGGCTTCAACGCAAACGATGCGAGTGGCTCCGTTTTGGCTTCCTGCAAAAAATTGACACTCCCGCAAAAAGCCTGTTTTGGCCTGTCCGCATGAGCGACTCTCTTGAACAGCAAAAATTAGAAAACAGGAAACCCGGTCAAAAGCTCCATTTACTTTTAGACGGGTTGGCGTTGCCTGATGCCGGCCAGCAGCAAACCTTTTCAAGAGCGCCGCCTGTTTTTCCCCAGCGCGGACAAGGGTAAGCCAAAAATGCGCCCTCCAGTGGCTGATCTGGAAGCCATGTATGATCTGTCCGTGTTAAGAGAAAACCGGCCAACACAGAGAGGAATCCTTGCAGAAACGAGAGGCAGAATGAATTGTCCGACCCTCGCAGGCAGTCGAGTCTGCGCTGCCTATGTCTACAAATTCACAGGCGTGAGGCAAAAACTGCATCCCAACCCTTTGAAAGTGGAACTACTGGAGTTTTGGCATAGCCTGATAGCCCTTCTCCTAGGTCACAACTTTACCTCCCCAAACTTTACAAACTGACACCTTCCAGGAAAAGGGCAACCTATAGTATACCACGCAATCAGTATCACCAACCCGTCTCTGCTCCTTGGATCAGATTGTTTCTGGCGGCCATTTCGCATCCAAACTTACGCAAAGGACCAATTGGGCACAAAGCTGCACCCACATGTGGGGCTCAAAGAGGGTAATACGGCACCATTCATTCAGCAAAGAGGATGATAACCTAATTGGCGAGGCTGCGCCATCTACTTTCACCCAACTGTCATCGGTCATGGCCCGAAGACCCAAGGCACCTTTGGACATGGCTGCAAGCGCCGCAGGGGACTTTTTCACTCCCCTCTAAGCTTCGGTTTCTTCTCCGGTGGCGCTTCTGTTGGCGTAAGCGCCTGGCGAGTAGCCCCCCAGCCAAACACGGGAGGAAGAGCAAAGTGGGCACTTGCATTCTATTTTGAATGTTTGTTTCGTGTGTTTGTGATGTGTATGATTGTGCGCGCGTGCCTGCCTGCGGGCGTGGTGGGTGCGTGTGTGTCTCTCTCTGGTGTGTGTGTGTGAGTGTGTGTGTAGGTGTGTGCGTGTCTGTGTGTGTGTCTGCGCGTGTGATATGTGCGCGACGTATGCGAGCGTTTCTTCGTATGTATTTTTGTTGTGTGTGTGTGTGGGGTGTGCTTGCGCGGTACACCCTCTGCACCTACCCCCCACCACCCACCACCTAAACACATGACCGCAACCCCAATCACACCCACACAGCACGACGACGACAACACCAACATCACCAGCACCAGCACCAGCACCAACAACAACATCGCCATCACTATTGACAACGACCACGACCACGACAACAGGAACAAGAACAAGAACAAGAACAAGAACAACACCATCAGCAACAGCAACAGCAACAGCAATAGCAACAGCAACAGCAACAGCAACAGCAACAGCAACAGCAACAGCAACAGCAACAGCAACAACAACAACAACAAGAGCAAAAGCAAGAACAACAGTAATAGCAACAGCAACAGCAACAACAACAACAAGACGATTAACAAGAGGAATAAGAAGACTAACAACAAAAAAAGAAGAACAAGAACAAGCGCAGCAACAACAAAAAAGAGAGAACAAGGAACAAGGCCAAACACAACAGCAGCAACAACACCAACACCACCAGCAGCAACGCCAAAAGCAGCACCAACAACATCAACAACACCAACACGACCACCATCACACCACCACCGCCAACAGCAACAGCAACAGCAACAGCAACAGCAACAGCAACAGCAACAGCAACAGCAACAGCAACAACAGCAGCAACAACAGCAACAACAGCAGCAACAACAGCAGCAACAAGAACAAGAACAAGAACCAGAACCAGAACAAGAACAACAACCCTCAGGCTCCCTGCGGGGAATAGTCACCTGCGGGCTTGTGTGGGTCCACCGTAAAAGTTGGCCTAACAGAGCTCAAGAGCATTCACAGCTGGCGAAACAACGTGGAGGGCCGTCCAATCCGTTTGCTGGACCTATCATACACATGCGGCATAACCTTCCAAGAACCGTTTTTTGGTGGATCCGCCCCTGTGGGACGGCAAAAGAGTCGACCAAAAAGAGTATTAGCAGGGGACCACAAACAACGCGCCCCGTTCACCTCTATGTGTAAATTTGGGGATGCCCCTAGTGGGCCAACATGTGCAGTACGCATAGCGCGCTCCCCAGATTTCAATCAAATGGTTTTCTTAATGCTGATCAGGGCCCGGGATATTGTAACCTGGATCTGTGAGGCCAGCGGGGGCCGCAAGCAATAAGGTCAAGGACACCACCGCCAGGCACTTGTCATTTCAGTGCCCTGACCTGTGCTTTTGGCGAGCGCTGGCCTTGGATCCTGCTTTTGCTGAGCATCCTCTCAGCACTCTGGGAGAGGGCGCCTCAAGTCTGATCGAGGGGTTGCACCAACAAGGGGTTGCGCGCTGCAGGAAGCAGCGGCTGCCATGGTGGAGGAATCGGGCAACGCGTGCTCAGAGCTGACAAGGTGTCTTGATTAATATAAAAATCATTGGGCTTGCGCTGTTTGATTTGGGAATTACAACGGATTGTTTTCCTAGGCGGATTGCCAAAATTGCACCTTCTGCGAAGCACCCGCGCAATGCTGAGCGCGACTTACGTCGCCTTCTAGACCTGCCCTGGACACATCAGTTCAAAAACGGTTGCTGCAAAAACTCTAATTACCAAAACTAACACTCACAAAAACAGACAGTTTAGGTTCGTTTATGAGTGGGAAACGCCCACTTCCGTTTGTTTTGTAGGGATGCAACAGGGCCCCAATCTGTAGAGTCTGGCAAGGCGCGGGTGGACCCCAGCGAGGTCCGCGCGTTTTGGCACCACTGGCGCACGCCTCAGCATGGCGACGCAGGCGCTGGGCTACACAACCTGATCAGACTTCATGGAGATGATGCCAGATGCGTGCTGGTCGTCGCAGGGGCAGAGGTGGTGGCTTTGCTACGCAACCTGGTGTTGTATGACCGATCGTGAACTTCGAACGAGCATTGTGTGGGATAGCCGATTTGCAGCGATGCTTCGAATTCAATAATCTAAAAACTAAGTCGTTGCATGCCTCCGTGACTATTTTGCGCTTTACCACTTTGATTGGGCCCTGAAACTTGCAGAAAAGGCGTCAGGGGGGGTGGAGTTGTGAAAAGAGCACTGTTTTTGCAAACTACGGACAAATGACACCAACTAGCTGTCGCACTCATCAAGCAAACTTGTCCAAAGATCTGAAGCAACCTAGCAAAAAAAACCTCGAGCTTTCCAAACAAATCTCCAGGGTTCATGGGGGGGTGTCTCCAGGATCTGGGGCAGGTCGTGGTTGTTTGTTGTTTGCTTAACTCGAGGGTTTTTCTCACTTTTCCAAAGAAAGCAAAAAAGAGATTTCCAAAATAACAAACAAACGAACTAAAACTCCAGGAGCCATACGGGGTGTCTCCAGGATCTGAGGCATGAGTCTGTTTTTTGTTTGCAAACTCGAGGTTTTTCACATCTAGCCAACTCGAAAGCCTGTGAGAACCTTGCCATGGTGTTTCTTGAGGTTTCTGGTTTGTGTTCCTGATGTATCTCACAGGCTCACTGTGTGTGTGTGCGCGCGTGTGTATGTGTACACATGTGATCTCGTGCGTGTGTGTGTAACCATGTTTCTATACTTTTTGTGAGGTTGTCGCAACAGAAACTCGTCCAGGGAAACCACTTTTCGGCACCCTCGAATTTTTGGTGGGTACTGCCTTCTGTCTTTGGTAAGGTTGGACCCGTAGAACCGTCGTTTTCATTATCCTTTTCCCTTCAAAACTCCTCAAGAAGTGGGCACCCTCAAAACAAGACGCCCTAGGGCCTATGCATGCTAAAGCGTCTGCCGAGATTCTGTATGAAGCCAAGGCCGTCTGGTACATCCCCAGGGCAAACCATTGCTTTCTGGATGGGGGTTGTCAGGCAATTGCGCCGCAGACTGCGTTGCATCTTGCCTGCTGGTGTGTTTCTATGAAATCATGTCCTTGGTGGCTCCCAGCTTTTGGCTGTTTAGTGTTTAGTGGGGGCTTCCATTGCACCCACTAAAAGTAAGCTTTTAGCGGGGGAATATGAGGACAGCCCAGTATCGATTCTCATCCACGTTATGGTGCATTGGTGGCCTGCGCCTTGCAAGAACCCTGCAGGCCGACTTCTGGAAGTACGCCTACGTGTCATGGCAAGATGGATGATCACGCTGATGTGACAGAAGCAGTGGATAGCTGCACAAAGCGTGACGGCCGAGTGGGCTGATGTGTCGGAAAATATGCTTTCTTGAACGTTGTCTCTCACAAACCACAGACCCCATATCTTTACATCGGGTGTCTGGATAGGGTGCGCCTGTAAAAGTAGGTCATCGTTACTCATGCCTGAGCCTGAGGGCAACAACAACAAGACCAAGTATGACCACGACCACCACGACCACGAGCACGACCACCGCAACCACAACCACACCCGCAGCCACAACCACACCCGCAACCACAACAACCACAACAACCACAGCAACAACAACAGCAACAACAGCAACAACAGCGACAACAGCAACAACAGCAGCAACAGCAGCGGCAGCAGCAACAGCAACAGCAACAGCAACAGCAACAGCAGCAGCAGCAGCAGCAGCAGCAGCAGCAACAGCAACAGCAAGAGCAAGAGCAAGAGCAAGAGCAAGAGCAAGAGCAAGAGCAAGAGCAAGAGCAAGAGCAACAACAACGACAACGACAACGACAACGACAACGACAACAACAACAACAACAACAACAACAACAACAACAACAACAACAACAACAACAACAACAACAACAACAACAACAACAACAACAACAACAGGAACAACAGGAACAACAGGAACAACAGGAACAACAGGAACAAGAAGAACACAGAACAAGAACAAGAACAAGAACAAGAACAAGAACAAGAACAAGAACAACAACAACAACAACAACAACAACAACAACAACCACAACCACAACCACAACCACAACCACCGCCACCGCCACCGCCACCGCCACCGCCACCACACACCACCACCACCACCACCACCACAACAACAACAACAACAACAGCAGCAGCAGCAGCAACAACAACAACAACAACAACAACAACAACAACAACAACAACAGCAACAGCAACAGCAACAGCAACCGCAACAGCAACAGCAACAGCAACAGCAACAGCAACCGCAACAGCAACAGCAACAACAGCAACAACAAGGCATTAGTTAGTTTGCTTCGCCGCCGTGGAAGGCGGAGCGTTTTTCAAGGGCCATTGTTTCAAAACGCAGAACCTTCATCGTTTTCTCTTTTCGGAGGGGCCATTTTCTTGTAAAGTGTCTAGCGGAGTTGAAGCATGGCACCTGGCGCGTTTTTGCCCTGCGTCTAGTCAAAATGCGAACTGCAACAGCCGACGCGCACAGGGCGACGGATGAAAAGCAACAGACACGCCGAAACTGAGAAACACAGAGGACAACAGCAAACCAGGAGCCACCATGCCGTGGAAGGTTCTCGTGAGCGGGTGTGCTGACGCGCGTGAGTGGGTGTGCATATCATTTGCCGGGCATGTGCGTGAACGGGTGTCCTTATCATTTGCCAGGCGTGTGCGCAGTGCTGACATGACGCGCGTGAGCGGGTGTCGCAGTGCCGAGATGACGCGCGTGAGAGGGTGTGCTTATCATTTGCCGGGCATGCGCGCAGTGCTGGCATGACGCGCGTGAGCGGGTGTGCTTATCATGTGCCGGGCATGTGCGCAGCGCTGAGACGCCGCGCGTTGACGGGTGTGCTTATCATGCGCCTGGCATGCGCGCAGCGCTGACATGACGCGCGTGAGCGGGTGTGCTTGTGCAGACATGACGCGCTTGAACGGGTGTGCTTATCATCTGCCAGTGCTGACATGACGCGCATGAATGGGTGTTCTCATTTGCCGCGCATGTGCGCAGTGCTGACATGACGCGCGTGAGCGGGTGTGCCTATCATTTGCCGGGCATGCGACATGACCCGCGTGAACGGGTGTGCTCGTCATGTGCCGGGCAGGTGCGCAGCGCAGACCGCGCGTGAGAGGGTCTGCTTATCATTTGCTGGGCACGCGCGTGAGCGAGTGTGCTTATCATGCGCCGGGCAGTTTCGCAGCGCTGACATGACGCGTGAGCAGGTGAGCATATCATGTGCCGGGCATGTGTGCAGTGCTGAGTTGCGCGCGTTAACGGGTGTGCTTATCATGTGCGGGCATGCGCGCAGTGCTGACATGACGCGCGTGAGCGAGTGCGCTCATCAGGCGCTGGGCATGCGCGCAGTGCTGACATGACGCGCGTGAGTGGTGGTTGAGGTCATTTCCCGAGAATGTGCGCAGTGCTGACATGACGGGCGTGAACGGATGTGCTTATCATTTGGCCGGGCATGTGCGCTGTGCTGACATGACGCGCGTGAGCGGGCGTGCTTATATATAAGTTGCCGGGACGTGCGCAGCGCTGACGTAACGTGCATGAAGGGGTGTTCTCATTTGCCGCGCATGACGCGCGTGAGCGGGTGTGCTGTCATTTGCCCGGCATGCGCACAGTGCTGACATGACCCGCGTGAACGGGTGTGCTCGTCATGCGCCGGGCAGGTTCGCAGCGCTGACATGACGCGTGAGCAGGTGAGCTTATCATGTGCCGGGCATGTGTGCAGTGCTGAGCGCGCTTTGCGCGCAGTGCTGACATGACGCGTGTGAGCCAGTGTGCTCATCAGGCGCTGGGCATGTGCGCAGTGCTGACATGGCGTGAGGGGGGGGTTCTTATCATTTGCCGGGCATGTGCGCAGTGTTGAAAGGACGCGCGTGAGCGGGTGTGCTTAGCATTTGCCGGTCATGTGCGCAGCGCTGACGTGACGCGCGTGAGCGGGTGTGCTTGTCACTTGCCGGGCATGTGCGCAATGCATGACGCGCGTGAACGGGTGTGCTTGTGTGCATAGGGCATGTGCGCAGTGCTGACATGACGCGCGTGAGTGTGCTTATCATGCGCTGGGCATGTGCGCTGTGCTGACATGACGCGCGAGAACGGGTGTGCTCATCAAAGCAAAGCAAAGCAAGCAAGCAACAGCAACTCAACAGCAACTCAACAGCAACTCAACAGCAACAGCATCAGCAACAAGCAACCAAGCAACCAAGCTACCAACCTGCTAACCTACAAGCAAACAGACAGACAGACAGACAGACAGACAGACAGACAGACAGACAGACAAGCAGACAAACACACCAACACACACACAACGGCAAACACACTGATAACAGCAACAACACACACCCACAACCACAACCACGCCCACCCCGCACATTCACACACGCAGATCCGCAATCAAACACACCAACATACACAGACACAAACAGACAAAACAAAGGAGCCAAGCGAAAGCACAAACACATGCAAACACAACACAACACAAAAGAGCCACAAGACACAGAAACACAACAGCACCCACACACAGAGAGACCTCACACACACACACACATGCACAAACACCAGACACACACACACACAACTGACCCACACACGCACACATATCTAATATCCTACTGCTGCTGGTTGGAACTCGTAAACCAAAAGTTTGAACAAGGCCATTGAACCTGAGATTCACTTGGGCTCCCTCCGCGCTTTTGTCGGCGTGCCTCGGTGAGTCGGGGCACCCGGAAGCAAACGCAGAACCTCAGAGGCGGAAGCAAAGCGCTGCAAAATGCACTTGTTGCGTCAGTTAGCCTTGTGAGTTGTTTGGAGGGGGAGCCTGTGAAGTGCTGATGCACGTCTTCCAGAACTCCAGGCCTTGCCCCCCTGCCGGATGACTCACCGGGGATTGGCCAACCCTTGCCGACTTCGAAGTCAAAGCCCCCCTCCCTCCCGCCAGGCAGCATATGCCGTGTGGGTGCCACATTGCGCACCAGGCGCACCGCCACTGGAGTGCCTGAGATGCGAGACCCAGTGAATCCATGCGGCTGCGGTACATGAGGGCACTCCCTTCGGAAGGAACCATTGTCTCTGTTTGGGGGAGGGGTATCGCAGCCTCACTTTGGCCTTATTGGCACTATGGGGCCGTAGAAGCTTCAATATGCAGTCACGGCCCGCGAACCCGAACTGGGCCAGTCTCCACATCGAAGAAACCCCCCTTTGGGCGGCTTCCCGTTGGTTCCCCTTCAAACCAAACCCAAAAAGGGTACAGTCAACAACACGGGTCACGCCCTTGAAGCCTGTGCCAGGTGAGGAGTTTGGACCGTGCCAGGTGAGTCATGGGTGTCCCACAGCTGACTCGCTGGGCTTCAATGCGGCCGAGACTCCGCCAGTGTCTGCCTGCGAAGCAAAGTGACTGGTCCAACCCTCTGGCATTCGGGAGACCGGTGAGGGATCCCCCAGAAATAGTTCTTCTTGGCGATGGATTTTTTCGCTCAAGCTTATGGACCACAGGAAGTGGATGCCCCAAGATTGCAAAGAATATATTCGAGGAAGCAGTTTGAAAACTGATCGCATGGGTGCTTTGCGTTGACCTGACCAATCGTAAATGAGGGCTCTCTATGAAAGGAAGCTTGATGTTGCAACCCCCACGTTGTGAGGTCACTATTAGTCCAAACTGCGGGCAATCTGGGCAACTGAGCATACTCAAACTGGAAACGAGGGAAATCCCGCAGAACAGGACCTTCATCCAGGAAGCTCGTTCTAATTCTGAAGTGCTGACCTCGTTATAACCTGTGCAAAGACAATGATCAGCGGTGGCCTGGGCGTCTTCCACCATCTTTTGCACCTCCGGCGAGGGCAGGGGCAGCTGGCCCCGTCCACTCTCTGAGTAGTGAAGCGAGTCCTTGGCTCTCGGAATGTGGGATGTGGAAAGATCTGGGTTCAATGGCCCAAGATTCAATGCTCGGATCAAATGGCTCAAAACTCAGTTGAGTGCATGTCATGGCTGTGCAAGATGAGTAAACACAAGTGATAAGCCAGCTTTATAGCTGAGAACAACAACATTAAAGCCGTCTTGCAGATGCTTGAGCAAGCTGGTGGGACTCACTAGATGCGTTTGGTGTCCAAAACGCGGCACCTGTGTGCCGCTCGCATGCAAAACTCAAAACACGCCGTGATTACCTGGGTTTTAATTGCGGAACCCTTTGCAGAGATGAACTTCCATTTAGCTTCTCTTTTCAACTTCCCTCTGATTGGAGGTTTGGATTGGTGGTTTGGTGGTTGAGGAGGGCCAGGGGATCCAATCCCCAAGCCACCAATCCAAACCACCAATTTGCTGGTTACCTGATGTTTGAAAAAGGGATACCCTTAAACAATTATGATCAACCCAAGCTGCATTGGCGTCCGATGATCCATTTGGTTTGCCTTTCAACCAAAAGAAACCCTAGATAACACGCCTGCGTATGTGTCAAACATGGTGGCTCCTCCAAAATGGGTGGCTTAACTTTGGTTTCTTAAACCTTGGTTGCTGTTGACCCCTCAAAAAGGTTACCGCGTCTGGTGGGTCCAATGGCAAAATGCACACTTTCCATAAGAAGCTCAAGTCCAAAGTCCGGAGGATCCAACAAAAATCGACATAAAGAGAACCAACCCTGAACATGGGTAGCCTCAACACAAACACAACAACCCTTCGCCTCCCAACCATGTGTGACCGTTTGGAACAATGGATGGCGCTGCTACATGGAATAAAACCAATCTGAACCAGTACCATCTGTGTCCAAACAAAAGACTAACCTCGAAAACTAATTTCAAAAGGACAAAACTAACCAAAGTAACTAAACTAACCAATTTCCAAGAATAACTAAGCTCCAAAGGACACCGTGCGCCTCCCAAATTTCTCCGAGGTGCCAGCGCCAGCGCTTTGGCCAGGCGCGCCATGAGGTCACAGACGCAGCCTTCCGGGCCCGCAGAGTCCACCTGGCCGTCGCTGAAGGTGTAGCAGCAAACCTCAGCCCACCGCCGCGAAGAGGTTAGAGTTCTCAAAACAAATGGCTGAAGCATCGAAGCCCTTAAAAAAAGGGGGAAAAAGATGAAAAAACCGACCCCCTCCTCCCCCCAAAAAAGGGGTTTTCCCAATGGGTCTGACATGGCGCATTTCTAACAATGGGGCAGCTACCTCCCTTCAAAACGGTCCCAAAACGGGTACTCTCGAAAAAGACCTACTCAAATGGGTACACGTTAACCTCTGCCCACCAGTAAATGATGGAATTTCACATCAACCTCCACTTACAATAATTGGTCGTTCGAAAAATAAAGAGTCTGTCTGCGAGTCATTTGGTGGCAGGGCCCTAGCCTCAAACAACGCCGTCTGAGTTGCTCGCAGGAGGGGCATGAGCCACCACTTTTGGGTGTGATATCTGACCATCTGGTATCGTGGACATATGCCAAAAACTGGAACGCCGAGCAACGTGCCCTTGTTGCTTGTTGCTTCTGACAGCCACCAAAGCCTTTCACATCCTGTAACAAAACCCTTTACGCAAACGCACATACACACACAAACAGAAAACAAGATATCAGGGTTGAGGAACGTCCCTGCCATGTACAGTAAGTGGTCCTTTCACGCTGGTAGTCAAGGCAAGTTTGGGTTGTACCTCGGCAAGTTTGGGTACAAGCAATACACTTTCTGTTTCTTTGTGCTGTGTTCTGAATTGGTTTGCTCCCCCACCACCTTTGATTGGGACGTGCTTCCAAAACAACATGTCCATACATGCATGCCAAACCGACGGTTTGGCGGACAATGCCCCAATGACAAATCCACAAATGGTCGCTTTACTCTTCCCCAAAAGCATGTTTTGGGGCTTTTGAGGTGTTTCAATGAAACATCCTTTCCGAATGGCCAAGCATTCCAATACAAAGCCTGAACGGCCAAACCGCTCTCCGGCTCAAAGTTGGGCACTTCAACGACCACTTGTCACCGTGGAGAGTCGGGCACAGTTGAACTCAGAGCCGATAAGTTGGTGACGCTGGTACAATGGAAAGATGGCCACGCACTAAACCACTCAGTCACTCACGCTACAAGTAGACATGGTTCCTAAAAAGACAATAGCTGAGCTGAGAATGCTGGCTTGCAGAGCGGCCAAAGGTCTGGGCAGGCCCTGCTTGTCGTAGTCCAAACCGCGAAAGCAATCCAGGAGCTCAACTCCGGCTGCGGGCAGGTTGAAGACTGCGTGTGTCACTGGATGCCTGCGAGCTGGCACTCTCTCATGCGACTACATTGTCACATGGGTATGGGTCAAAATATGTCAAAATTAAACCACCAGGGGACCGCAAGTTTTGGTCCATGCTTCCACTTACCAGGGTTCCATTTGGGGTACATATTTTTGACCCACAGCCACATGTTTGTCTCCGAATGCCAAACAAAACTGATTTGCTGACTGTCCATCCGATCATGATAATATGACATGCGAACGTGATCAGAAATCACGTTCCACGCCATGATGTTAATACACTTGCCCATAGAGCAAGGCATTCCTAGCCCAAAGCTGACTTGCAGTTCCACAGTGCCACAATAAATTTCTACCATTTTTACATTGCGACCAGATCTGCAGCCAGAAACCCAAGGCACACCTCAAAATGCAGATAGCTCCAATTCCCTTGTCCGAAAAAACTAGCCAAAGCTTAAGCGTTTGCTTGTCTTTGGACAAAGAGTTTGTCAAAGGGCTACTTTTCTCTGGGTCTTGGATTGAAACCAGGCTAACGGCAAGCCCCCCCCCCCGTTTTCACACGTACCCCTGCTCGTTGCCAACCTCTTCTCGAAGAGATTGGGAATGAACTGCCGCGCGTCTCCAGGAGGGTGGATCACCAGCCTGGGCTTCATCTCTTGCGCATGCGCGGGACACGCGGCCTGGTGGGGGGCGAGGAGGGGGCGGAGGAGCGGGGGAGAGGGGGGGAGAGGGGGGGAGTGGCGGAGAGGGAAGAGGGGAGGGTGCATAGGTGGCCTTTTGAAAAAATAGATGGCCCTGGTAAATGGAATAAACCCCAACCCCCATTTAAACCAGTGCCATCTATTTTTAACCAAACTCAGGATAGCTACCTGCGCCCCCGCTCTCCGCGCAGCTTGTTTGACCAGTGGCAGGGACCCCTCCGGATCGAACCGCTCGCTGTGGAAAGGCAGCTCCTCGAGCTCCAGAACCTCGCTGGGGCTATGAGGAGGGGGGGGTGGGGGGATCAACTGAACCCTTAACTGGTGTTTGCTCATGCACCTGTAGTCTTGGAAAGTGGGAGCAGCAAACATGTTGCCCAGAAAGGAACCGACCCGTCAGGCCTGTGGAAAGGGTTTTGTTTTGTAGCCTAGGCCCCTGTGATAGCGCCCCTAGCTTCAAATGGGCAGGGCCTCTGAAGGGAATCCCTCGAGTTTGCCGCGTTGCGCGCGTGCTTGGTATGACAGTGAAAGCATGAGAATTAGTATACGTATGTTTCACGTGCACAGAGCGGAGATATAACTCAAGCCATGAGGGCAAACTTGCCCGGTTTCGATATAGTTCGTTCGCATCTCAGGTTCATGCTGCGCTTGACTCAATAAGCAACCCCGCCAGCACCATGCCCTGCAGCGTGCAGTACTCCTAGTTCACGCAACGCTTTCGTCCATAGCCGAGCCATGCTCCGATACTTCCCTCGCAAGTATACCGCAGCCTCAAGCCACACCTTGAATGGTACATAGACTTGCATTTGTATGCCTGCTCATGAGCCAGAAAATGTTTGCGCGTGCTTGTGCACATGCAACCACTTCCACGTCCACATGGTCACCACATGTTGGACCCACACTGCGGCCCTGGCGTGAGGCAGCTTGTTCAGCTCCACACTTCTGCGCAGCCAGTGGATGGAAGCAGGATTGAGGTCATTGGCATGCGAGACCACCCCGTTGGTCAGCTTGGTCGTCGGGATCGAAAAAGGCCCCACCTGAGAGAGTCACTGGAAGCAAGCCAAAGCAGACTTCACGAAATTTTGTCAGGGTGGTGGCTGTCTTCGTGCCAGCCACTGCATTTGGTCTCAGCACGTCGGCCGTGATATGGATACCCAACAATAATATCACTAGAAATGGAGCCGCAACCAACAACAAATACCCCGGCAATATTGCGTCGCTAGTATAGTTGCAACTAAAACCACACCTGGCCGTCTCCTGTTCAAAGACCTTCCGCGTCTGTTTTCTCTGCACGACAAGTGGCAAACATTGGAAACGGCCACGTGCACACACGGAAATTTCAGCGGGGTGAGTTCAGCGCCCATGAAGACGTTTGACAGCTACCACAACACAGGATGCCAGACAGTGCAACGTGAACACAGGTCTGCTCGCCTGCGGTCAACCTTGTAAGCAATGATGACTTCAACAAACGTTTGGAACATGGGCAACTCAGATCAATTTGGAACTCAAAGTGCCATGGCAAGTTTCATCCCCCTTCAAAATTTGGCCAGGCTACGCCACAGGTACAATCTGCCAGTACTCGCCGCGCTGGCGATGAGCGCATGAAGAGAGTCTCAATGAGGCGGCCGTGCTCCTTGAGATGTTGCTCTTCTCGCTTGGTTCGTATTTCTAGACGCGTTACAGTATATCTGAGATAGACTTGTTACCATGTTAGTCTGAGTGGAATTGCGCTGGCAAAATGGCAGGTCACTGTGATTGATATGCCCCTGTCCTCCTGCAAGCGAGAGTTCCAGTACACGTCTCGGTATTCGAACCTCAGCTTGCAGATCCGGAGTTCAGGCAGTCGGCTTCATACGGGCAAACGTAGCCTATGCGGCAGTGCCTTTCGAACAGGGTAAGCCGGAACGGCCATGTTGTAAAAGGAATGCCACACCTCTTACATTCTTTTGCACAGGAAGCACATGCTCCTGAAGACGCATCCTTTCAGCACTGAGTTGTATGCTCGTCCCATGTTAGTACAGCTGGCAGCAATGCGGTTGCGTTCATCTAGTGCATTGCAGGATCAGATAAAACATCCAACCAAAGTGCGTCGGAGGAAGCCGAAGAAGCCTGCTTCCATTGAGAAGGAGTGCACTGAGCTGGACGCAAATGTCCCGTGATTCGCACACCTTTGCAATCCGCTACAGTGCCTCAAGCTCCGCATGACACCCTCACCTTGTCGAGAAAGGCTTGCCAGTCGGCGCTTGCAAAGCTAAGTCCTACACTTTCTTGGAAGGCAAGCCAGAACCACAAAATACTCACAGGTTCACCGAAAGGTGACCCAGTCCGGCGAAGGCCAGCAACGGCCACGTTGTCGAAACCAAAGACCAAGCAAAACACACGCGGACTGCTCCCCCCCCCTTTTTTTGCTCTGCCCGAAGAGGGCAAGGTAAGCTTTTAAGGCCTTAGCACATGACTCAACCAACTCCAAGCCCGGTCTCGCAGAGAACAGAAAGATCGGCCGGGGCACTCGAAGAAGCACTGGTGCTCCTTGAGGCAAACCACCGTGGAAGGCTCACCCGCCAGGTGCTCCATGGGAAAGGTGCGAAATTCCTCGCAGAAGTTCAGCATCCATTGGGTGAAAGGGAGCCGTTGATAAAAATATATATAGGCATACGCAGAGACAACAAGACGCCGACTTAGAAGCGCTTGTAATAGAGCTCACAGCAAGCCCTGTGATCCCAACCAGCCCATTAGCACAGCCTTTTGCTTTGAAATGTTTGCTATGTCGCAAGTTGGCATCCCATACTCAGCCCTTCCTGAGTTTGTCAAAGCTTGGACTTGAGTAATTTGCCACTCAGGCTAGGCTCAAGAGGAGAAAGTGTTGCTGGCTACCTACTCAAATCAAGGTGCCCACAGATTGCATCCTGTGGTCTGGGAAAACATACTGCCAGCCTTACATACTTCCGAATGGCCAGCCAAACGGTCAGGCATAGTATGGGAGCACTTGCATCCAAGTCACAGTCTCGATCTTGCCAGTCTTGTTGACAACTGTCTTGACCTCAAGGAACACGACCCAAACTCCTGAACAAATCAGGAGCAAACCTGGCAGTGGATCAAAGTGGAAGTCTTCTTTTGAGGCTACCTGTTTTGGGGGTTTGATGGAAACCAGAGGAACAACCTATGCGGACAAAAGAGATGATCGGCAACCGGTGCCCCTTCGCCTCTGGTGCAAGCAGTCGTCAATGATTAACACTGTTGAAGCGAGGCATTGGCAACCTCCGCTTTGGGAACGAACTGCAAGGCTGGATGCTGAGGCAAAGTGTACTTCGGCCAATGGCCAGTGCCAAATTAATGTACGCTGAGTTTGATTGGTCGAGAATTGGGTTCTTGGATCTTGCATTGGTATCCGCTATTGTTGTGTGGACGCACTCACTTCCCCATTGACATCTATTTCAATGGTTCTTCTGCAGTGCGAACTTCGGATGAACCGGAGGACCACAACAATCAGCAGTGACTCCCTTTTGATCAGGCCATGATTTAGAGGGGAGGCTGGAGTAGTAGGGGTCGGCCCGGATTAATCCCCCCTTAGCGTGAAAATGGCCTCACCCATGCCTATCTTATGGCTTACGAAAGCCTTCTTTCCAGGCCGATTTAGGGCTTAGGAGGGTAATCAAAATCCATCATCCCTAGATGGACACCACTGCAAAATTACTATATCTCACAATCCGGAAACGATTAATCTTTGAAGGGGGCCTCATTCTCAGTGAGCTCGCTCCGCATCTCTGAGCCCGTTACGTTGGTTCCAAGCCGCTCATTTTGGGACCCGATTTTGACTCACATATGGGGGTTGATCAAAAGGCCCTTTACATGGGATGACCATTGGGGAAAACCACTAAAAAAGATGATATTTCCCGATCAAACATATTGATCCACCCCCACATCTTCAAGACCAATCACCGACTTGTTCTTCTCCAGGATCACCTGGCCGATGAGGTGCTTGTAGGGCAACTGCGAGTCCTGGGCCCGGAGCAAAGTACTTCCGCGCGCACGGGCCCTGGGTGGGCATGGATTTTACGTGGGGACTACCCACCTGCGAGTGTGTCGCAACATGGGCCCGCCCCGTGATTGAAAATGAAAATGAGGGGAAACCACATTTTGGCGCAATGCTTTGATGTCTGGGGAGACATGGAAAGAAACCTGGCTCTGTGCCATCTGGGAATCTGCCTTCCCCTTGCATCCAGGGTTCTCTGTCGCGTCACCTTCCCACTCGCTCACCATTAAGTGGATGGACAAAATCCTGCACCACCCCCAAAAAAAAACTGGATTGATGCTTCAACCATGGCTTCAACCATTGTTTCTTAGGTGCTGTTTAATGAATTGTGCAACCATCTACAGTATGGACAACTTTCCAGCCGGCAACCCACCAAGTGAAGGCCATCCCGAGCTGCGCCCAGCATATCACCTATTCTCTGCCCGCCAGTGGCCATGCAAAATGGGCACTCTTTTCTTGGATAATTACTTGATGCTGAAAGGAAGCACCTCCACCTTCAGTGCAAAAAACCACGGCTTTGGCTCGAAGGTCACTTCCAATGCTGCAAAAACTGGCAAGGGTGAATAGGGTTGATCAAACGGTCCCATACAACATGGGATGACCAGGGGAAACCACTAAACACATGATATGTTTCCCACTAAGACTAAATGGGAAAAGTGACCCATGGCCAATTTGGGGACGAAGGGAATATAGATCCACCGCCATATCCGAGTCATCACGGGGCCACCTTCGCGCCCCGCAGCCTCTCTGCTCACAGCCGGGAGCTTTCCAGCGAATTGCCGAGGTGCTCGCAGATTGAGATGCGCCACGTGCCCGGCCTGCTCAAAGGAAGAAGGGATCTCCATTCCAGCAGGCAGCAGCTTCCTCAGGCTTCGCCGCGTGACGTTTGGACCAAATCCATTTCGCGCCACTTGGGATGGATGACACCCTGTACTGCGATAAGCCAGCTGCCAACATGTGCATCCCAGCGCTTTCTGGTAACCTGTATAGGGTCCATGATGGGTACCATTTTTCAGGAACCAAGCTCGGCTCCCAAAAAAGAAGGACCCTGATTCCAATCTATCATTTTTCGCGGTTTCAGCCTCCCAATTCACGGCTGCACCCCCCTATTTCACGGCCCCGGCACTCTGGAACACGCTCCGCCCTCTGTTGTGTAGCCGTTTTTGTGGTTGTGGGAACTACTGGCCAGTTGCCAATACAGTAGGTAACCAAGCTGGCTGCCAACTACTCAGGTAACCGGAAGCACTGGGCATAACATAGTATCACGTGTGCCCATACCTGTGCGCACTGAATCAGATTGGGATGCGTCACTTTGCATTTTGGTCTCGGTGCTGACTTCCTTTGCAGCCCCACAAACAGGAGGGTTGCGAGTCAAGCTGCATGCTCATTCCGCAGGCACGCTCATTCGCGCCAAGAGTCCGAAGCACCTCCTCTGCAGTGAAGTGCTCATAACCTTTGCCAGCAGCACACGAGCCGATGAATCTTCGGGCTTGCGACCTGTTTTGAACATGAGTCACTCAAAGTGCAGAACACTTCATACATCAAAACATATCTCAAAGTATAACTCCACAATCTGTTGCCCACCCTTCAAGCCACCGGCCATCCCTTGCCAAGGAGCCCAAGGTCACCTCGAACTTGGTGACCTTCACCTTCCGAAACGGGTGGCGATCCGTTGGCTTTTTGAGGCTGGGTACCCTTTGTGGCTGGCCTTTAACGGGCAACCAAAAGGACACCAAACATTTTTTGGGGTCACCTACAAAAAAAGGGGAATGGAAGTGGACGCTGTGGTGGACATCATTTCATGGGGGATTTACAAACTCTCATGGCCATACTGTGGATGGACGAATCCTGCACCACCTAAGAAACCCTGAAACGATGACTCCCCTGTAAATACCGAGAAAACAATTGTTTCTCATTGTTTCAAAGTGGTGCGAAATGGATTTCGTCCATCCATGATAATTGGCAGTGAACAACGTCTGCTTCGTGTCATGCTTGGCTCGCCCTTGGCACCAAAAACATCTTGCCAGCTTGCCAGGTGAACTCAAACCCCTGTCAAACTTCTTAAACGCGCTGTGAGCAGCGGTTGCTATTCAAAGGGAAAGACACATGGGGAATGAGTCAAGAATCATTCACCAGGGGACAGCAGGTTTTACTTCTTGCTCCCATTTGCCAGGGTTTCATTTTGGGTACCTATTTTTGACCCACGGCCACATGACCCCAAACCCAGATGTTGTCACTTAATTGGGGGTGCAAGTGCTAGTGAAAGTCCCCGGATCCAAGAGAGAGTTACAAGGGGTCACCATAAGATTTGGCTGGACAAACCAATCTGCATGCAAGAGGCGGCCCCAGAAGAGACCAGCTCTTCCACCCACGCTGCATCAGAGGGTAGGCTCTCAATATCTGTCACTGTCCTGCATGAGGACTGCGCTCTTATGCACTGCTGCGATTTAAGTTTGCATTTTCTCCGTTTTGTAGATCCTGGTACCTCGTTTTTCCTTTGGCCGGTTGGAATAGGCGATACAGAGAAACCTCTCGAAACGAATTCCAAAGTCAACCAACCACCGGGAAGGGTCAATCTTGAGAAGAAACCTTTGTCGCCTTGCTCCCTGGAGAAGTGGACACAGCGGTGCCTTTGCTTGATGTGCGGTTCTGATTCAACAAGCTGCCTGACTCTGTCCAGTTCAGCCTTATGTTTATGCCAAGGAAGCTGCCGGTCCTCGAAAGAAGGATAAGCTTCGAAGCAGTGTCGGGCAATGACCTCGATGCCACAGGCACGACAGCAATATCAATTTTGGCTCTGCCTGAAACAAATGGTGCCGTGTCGCTTGTTGATGAGATCCTGGAACAGTTTGCCTGCATGCCCTTGTTCATGGCAGCGCCTCCCCTGCCCCATTTGCTGTTCGCGAACATGAGACTTGGGTTGCCTCTCAAAGGAGGCATGCTAGCATCCCTGCCGCCAGGTCGGTGGAAGGTCGCGACTCCTTTGTGGTTGTTGGTCATTCTACAGGGATCCAATCAGAGAACACAAGAAGGGGTTGACAAGGGCCCGTTTACTGAACGTGCAGAAAGAAGCCGGTGTTCAAGTCCCTCATCTATCTTCTTCTTCCCAGCCCCAAGGTGTTCAATTGGCTCCCCCAAAGCCACTGCCAACATTCCAAAGACTCCTCATGCGCAACCTGATGTGCATGGATGTACTCATCTGCCTCACACCCATCACCTCCAATGGAGCACTAGTTTTATGTGACTCTGATTGCACATAGGCAATCAGAATCTCAACAGCTTCTGTCCGTTTCTGACGGGGTGGCCCTGCAATGCAGTTGCAGGCAAACACAGTCAAACGTATAACAATTATTTGAAGAAATCCCGAGGAATCAGCCCGCTTGCTCAGAGTCGAGCTCTACGTTCTTCCTCCGCGCCACGTTAAGCAGGTTGGGCGCAAGCCTCCAAACGAACTCCGGGCCCGAGTTGTGTTAGGAACTTGGGATTAATCAGCTCCAACTACCCAAACGGTCAGAATCCTGTTTGTGCGAAAATTCATTGCGGATTTCCTTGCTTGAGGCACATGAGCCTAGGGTCAGGGTGGATGGCTCAAGTCTCCCATCCCGTTCACCAACTGACAAAAAGGCATTATCCATTTTCTCACGCGACATATCCACACACACACACAACTGTGTCGTGTTTTCGGTCAAGAGGGGCAGGATGCTTGTGAGGTGGTGTATTCATATCCAAGCTGTGCTCTTGTTCCAAAACCTGAATTCAAGGATCCCCAAGCAAAGAACCTTTGTCGTGGTGAGCTCGTTACACCCCCAGATCAGCTCGCTATAGGCAGATAGTTCTGGGGTTGCCTTTGACCCTCTGCTCAAAGTCAATGCTAAGGCCAAACTCAAGTGCCAACGTGGGAACCCGCATTGCAACCTATCCACGGAAACAAAGAATTCAAACAAGATGTTTCTTCCATGGCTTCTCGGGAGGTAGAACCCACAGCATATCGGCAGAGCCACTACAACACATAGTGTCAAACTGGCAAGTCGTCGAGCGTCGCTCGCCATCAGGCCTCTTGAGGAACTCCCCGGTGCGACGGGCAGGCACCTGCCATATAGGATTCTCTTGACTGGCTGGAATGCGCAACACATTGGCGGTAAACACATCTCAGGATGCAAATCCCTGTGTGGATTGCGTAAACCAAACATGCACATCTCAATTCCAGAATCAGTGCATCCATGGCCATCTCTCTTTAAACCTTCCCTGCTTTCAGCCATCTTGTTTCAGATAAAACAACCTCATTGCCGCATTTTGCCGACAAAAAACCTTCAAACACATCTTTCGCCCTGCCTGTGAGCCCCTTCCCTCCTCCAGCCCCTTCCCCATCCGAGCCGGCCCCCGTGTTTTTTTTTTCTTTTTTCCAGCGACCGCATGGGCCTCGAGCGCCAAGACCTCGAAGCGCTCTTCCACTTTGGAGCGGTCCAGGGCCATGGCTCCGTCAAAAAGCTGGGGAGCGCTGGGGAGCGCTGGGGGCCCTGCAGCGGTTTTTTTTTCCCCCCCGCGGGGTTTCTGGGGGTTTCTGGGTTTGATTCCAACCAGTCGGGGCCAGCTTCCCCTAGAGGGTTGATCAAAAAGGTCCCTATAAACATGGGGTGACCATCAGGGAAGCCAAGGATTTGATAGTTCCCCCGAAATGCGAAAAGTTGGCCCATCATTTGGAGGCCATATGCTTGCTTGTTCCTGCGCAAACGTTTGCTCCAAATGGTTGTCTCTCTGAATGTGGAAATCATTCAACATGCGCGGTGTCCTTCTGTCTGGCCTCCAAACAACCCCAAGAAAGGTGCCACAACATGCTGCAACATCCTCCAAAACTGCTGACTTCCTCCGCGTGCCCTGCTGATATGGGTGTGCTCTTTGCTGGAGGGTTCCCTGTGTTGTGTTTTGTAAAAGGCAAACCAAAAGGATAACCACCATTTTGGGTAACCACACCACGTGACTGTTCTATGGATCAGTCGCCAAACTCAAGCAATGGCTGCGGCAGTCGACTGCCATGTCCACTTCACCCAAAACCCGCATTAGAGTTCCTGCTAGCTAGGATTGAGGTTCGACATCCGAGTGGCAAGGTGGAGTGCACTTAGGAATAGACCGGCCATGATGAGCGAAGGACAATACCACTGGGGTATCGGCTCGGTGATTGATGGTCCCTGAAAAATCCCTTGTTTGTGTTGCATGCTGGGGGACAAGGGCATCGTTTCCCCAAAACCCTCCATCACCCAACTTGTTTCTGGCCAGGCTTATTTTTCAATAAACAAAATATTACTTGTCTTTTGAAATTTAGATTCAAATGTGATTATATGATTATTGAGATTATCAATTGGCATCCAAGGAGCATTTCCATCCACACCGCACGATGCCATCTGCTGCAACACCTCAGACGCGCGAAAACGAGGCCGGTGGATCGGGCGGCTCTGGACAAACAGTCTGCCCCTGCCACAGGTGGGCTGGTCTCCAAAATGGGGGAACCCTAAAATGGTTGTGTTCCTTTCTTCTTGATTTTGATACAAACTCAGGGGTATCGGGGTATCCTAAAAACACATACACACGCACGTGATCACCTGTTGTGTGGCCAAGGCTGCGAATCTACGCTGAATGTCACGTATCAAGAAAGGCGGATGACGCGCAACTCATTCGGCATGTTTCCAGCACAACAACTAGGGGAACCAAGCCTGACCCAACAAACCTGAACGTCCACATGACCACCAAACCAGCTTGACAGTTGCATGACCAAGCAAACTCAACCAACTCCCCAAAGTCGCCGCAACCAAGCTGCTGGGAGCTCCAAAAGCTGCATCACAATGTTCCTCGGGTTCAGCTTCGGGTGACTTGGCAAGCTGGTACTCATTCTGTCCGCTAAGTGCGCTTCGCAGTTTACTCTGAGAAACCATTGTCGGACACTCCGAAGCAGGACTCCCCTCAAAAGAAGGTCCCCTAAACTTACATGATGCACAAGTTCTGTGCGGCGTTCAAATCTCTTACGCAACAGTGCCTGCCAGCCTGAGGCCCGCGCTCGCCGGTGTACCTCGGAGTTGCCTTGGAACCCGGATCGCTCCAAAGGTGTTAAAGTGCTTTGCTCAAGGAGGCGCCTGAGGCCTAAATGCACCTCCAGCTTACGGAGGGGGACCTGAGCCATGCTCAAATCTCTTGAGGGCATGCGTTTAGTTTGTGTGCCATTGGTGGCGGATGAACTGCTGTTCGAGCGGCAATAACAGTTCAAACACAGCTTGCTGTGACCACGACCCTAGGGTTAAGGCTAAGGCTCATGAGAGATGCGCACACACTCAACGGCAACTGTACCAGTATCGCACCACCAACACTCGTTGACTACATTTCAAATCATTTGTGATTCCTCACTTGCAGGGGTTCCGACAAACCTGCGGATACTGTTTCTGCAGGCACGATTGTTGTTGCTGTCACAACATGAGACTTTCGAGTTGTTGAGGGAATGAGGGAATGGAAGCATATCTTTGAGGCGACCAACCACTTTGTGTACGGGTCTCATGCCCCCGAACACCCCCCCTCCCCCGGCCCCCTGCGCCGGGAGGCGGCCGTTTTGGTAACCAAATGGTTACGATCGCCTCAGAGCCGGGCAACCTTGGCTTTCCTTCGGTTAGCGTCCTGTCAAACGGCAAGTCTGCAGGGTTGAGGGTGCGTTTGTCGGGTTGGTCCCCCTACTTTGATAAAATACCCACAGGACTGTTTCAGCCTCTGATACTGGCAACCAGCATCCTGCGCGTGAAAAACCATCTCTTGGTTATGCGATATATGAACAAGGTGTATTATGTGTATATATCTATACATATATGTTGGTCTTCCAGGCACCGCGAAGTCTGCCCCTATTCCAACTGGCTCCTAGACATAAGTTTGTCCATGCCAGGAGAATCCATTCTTGTCTTCAAAGTCCTGGCCCTGATTGGGAATGTTGAACAGCCACTTTTATGGCAACACTTTCACAAAGGGTGCCCCTAAAGAGAAGCCATGTGGAATGCGAGCAAGCACCATGGAGTTCCAGCACGGGTGCGCGCACCATTCCCTGGCATGGCTCCAGGCCACTCAGGCCTGTCCTTTTGGAAAAATCGACACTGGCAACTCACTTGGACCAAATTTACAACCAGAGGAATTTGCCTATCCAACAGGACACCTATGTTTGGCTTCGGCAACACAACTGAGAGAAGCCCGCCGTGCCTGGCGCTCCATGGGCACTCTTTCCTCCTGATCCCTTTGGAAGGAGGGCGCGTTCCGATACTTCTTTTCGCTGATGCAGATGTGCCGCATCCTGGGGCAAAGCATACAACATGGGGTCAACTTTCAGGGATCTCATGCTATGCAACCAAAAACTCAGACTTCTCCAGTCACCTCTGCCAAGAACCATAGATCCTCCGGCTAGGGCCATGTGACGACTCAAGGAGGGCTCTGCCTCTCGCTCGCATTGCTTGAGCTCCCGACGGAGGGTCTTGCTTGGCGATCTCTGCCTGCGGGGAGAGGGGCATGGGGCCCTGATTTATCCAAACATTCTCGTAATCTGGGAAGGCTTGTACACAGTTATATACCCCTTCTGAACATCCCTTGGGAAAACGATCCCACAAGGCAATATTGTTCATGGTCGTTCCCCAGAGGTGCAGAACCACTAACAGCCGGGTGGTATGAACGAATACAAAACCAGATTGGAAAAAACATGACCCGCTACAAGGCACTAAAGGACCAAACGGGTCCAGCCCCTCTCACTGTTTCAGCAACACCCTTGAGACCGCCGAACGCCAAATGCCGCGGGTGTGTCCGTTCAAACAAAGGGCATACCGACTCATAGCAGTTGACAGGTTTCGTGGCCTGTCTGATGACCCAAATGGCCCAGATTACATCGCAGCAGTATTCTGGGTTGTTCAAACTGCGGGGGATCCCTTACAGTCCTGATGATCCGTATTGGACAACCACCGCCATCTGGCCTAATGATTAAAGATGGATTTTGAACAACCCAGATCTTGGACGCGCGGCTGGTCCTCCAATGGGCGCGCGTTTCCACCTGCCACCTCCGGTCGCTGAGACAGGCGACTGCAGCTCCACCGGAGCTTGGCGACTATGTACATGCGGAGGTCATAGCATTCAAGCAGCGAACGAGATCCTCCGACAAGCAATGAATGCTCGTATTCCCACGCCACAGCGGGGCTGTGGAACATCCGAGCATGACGGTTTACTTTGCTGTTGCCAGTGTGCTTCTGTGCATGTTCACAATGTTGGCCACTCCCAGATTGGATCTGTTCAAACACGAGCCATGACTCAGCGGCTCGTATCTCAAAACCCAGCTGAAAACGTTCCTCACGGCAAAGTCAAGAGCCGGCCGCGAGCCATGAAGCCTTCTCGGCCAGATGCGACGCTGTTTCCTCGTAGAAGGTCCGCTTCCACTCCTTGTCATTCCGCATGGCCATGATGATCAGGTTCCTCCGGGGGGGAATGAAAAACTGCTGCGTTTGCATGCATAGCTGCTCTTGCTTCCCAGGTCCAGAAATGACTTGAGGGGTTCACAAGCTTAGCATCTCAGCTTCAAACGAGATTGCGCAAGCAGTACTGAGAAGCGATCTCATAAACCACGAAAAGAGCAACTGCCCACAAATAATGCTTCTTCCGCCTTTACAAACAAAGAATGATGCAAGTATTCTAAATTGCTTTCTGCCGACTATATTCTTGAAACCGGGTGCTAATACTTGTGTATGACAACTTGCCAAACATGTGGCTCTCCAACCCCTCTGCCAACTTCCTGAGCTGGTTCAGGGGACGTTCAACCCATCCGAATCTGTGGTTACATGGGGAGATGGTGGCAGTAACAGATATGGACCTTAGTAATGTCCGCGCAATGATTCAATATTGTTTGCCATCCCGTATCATCCGTTGCTACCCGACAAATTACCGCGGCAGACTGGAAATTGCATGGGATGACTTGACATACCAGGCCTGGCCTCCCCACGAAAAACCAACCAACCTACTCACCCAAACTACCCCTCCAACCACAACCCATTCCGAGATACTTACACTATCGAACAACTAGTTGAACAATTCACATGGAACCTGGAAATCATTTGTTTCACTGATTGTGCTCTTCCATCATCCTTCTTGGGGCCCTGTGGGTTCCACATCACAATTCAAAGGGTTCCAGGTTTGCGGTTGGTTCCAAGGGCAACCAAACGAACAATTAAAACCACTCCCCCACCCCCCAACAAAAACGACAAAAGCAAACAAACAATCACGATGTGTATCCCGCACCGCCCATGGACCAAGGCGCCAGCGGCTCCCCGAGGTCAGGGGCTCGACGGCATGCCACCGATCCCCGGGGTGCAGAACTGCGGTGCCCACCGTCTCGTGGCGGAACGCCACACTACGGCCCTGGACTCGTTCAATGCATGCGGGGACGGGGTTGGGGGGGTGGTCTTAACCACCGGCCCAAACCTGTTTGACTTATATAAATTAAATGAATCTGTTTTTCCGACCCCAAACCGTCCTAAATCGTTGCTTTGATCATGTTACCTTTTTGATTCGGGACCCAAAAAACAGGGGAGTCGAGCAAAAAGGTCCCCGATGCATTGGCGGGAACGGGAATTCGCAGCGAAAATGCGAATTGTGTTGCAACAGGCCAGCACCCCTTTTTTGAGGGGGACAAGTCGATGAATAGAGGGAAGAGTTAAGTTGGGTCCAAGAATAGTGAGGGACAAACAACTTTGGAAATTGTCCGCAACTCCCACCCTTCGAATGTGATTTGAATGAGTTTGTGCATTACCCTACATGTTCAAGTTTTACATGGTGCAATTATGCGGCTGTGTATTGGCTTGTCCTCCCACCATAACACGATGCATTTTGGGCTATGTTGATCTGCGTGGGTGCATGGAGTGGCCTCGTAGGTGGGGTCCTTCCAACGGGGCGTCCCGCAGGCGACATCGCGGTCCGAGGGCTCCAAAAGCATCAGCTCAGAGCCCGAGAATCCTGGATGGCCCAGGAACCTGAGCTTGTTCGTTCTGAGGTGGGATTGGAGAGGAAGATTTCTGTGTATCCTCAACAAAACCAGAGTTTTAATCCACCTCCTAGACCTGAACAAAACAAAGGATTGGCAGTGTTGGAGACTTGTTTTTGCACCCGGTCCATGGGAAGCACCTGCTCAAGCGCGCCCGCTCAGCACTGCGCGCACCAATGCCAAATGGCAAGCACACCCACTGAAGCGGGCCCGCTCAGCACTGCAGCATGAGTTACAAGTCGCATAAGTAAGTTGGATTTTGTTGCGGGGAAAACGGAGTGATAAGTTAGATGACTACTTAGCCTTGTTTTGAAGATTTTACTGAGGGAACTTATGAACTACATACGAACTACTTAGCTTTTCTAGTGCAAGCGCACAGTTTTTTTATAAAACCAAACGCGGCGCAAGAACTGTAATCTTCTCTTGTCAGCCTGGGTTTTGGTGCGATCTTTCAAACATCAATGAATACACATACTGGCGCAGCCCGCGCGCTGACAGGGAGGAGAAGGACTGAGGGGGGAGGGGGACGCGTGTTTTGGGGCGCAAAACTTATGTCGGCGTTGTCGGCTACGGTTAGTGTTGGGGCCTGGGGGCGGGGTTTGTGCGTGTTGGCGCGAGACGGCTGGGGTTTAGGGTCGGGGTCTCGACGTCGGCAAAATGCCGGTGGGCGGCACGCAGACAAGTACATCTTCATGGGGTGTCCAGCTTCGATTTCTCTGCAGGCTTTCCAGGCTTACAGCTCTGGCCGTTCGCCCGCTGTCTCGCCCCGCGGCGTCGTGATTACTGTTAACTTACTTTGACCCTAGATGCTTAATCTGGTCATGCTGTGGCGCCCGCGCGCCGACACGAGATGGGAAAGAAGTAAATTTCGCTTTTCTCTCCGGGAAGTTCCTCCGCGCTCTGTGGCCTGAAGCAATCATGAGGCCTGACTGGCACCATCCCTCAAAACACCTCAAAATGTTGAAAGTGCAACTGTCTTTGGCAAAATATTGAAAGTGCAACTGTCTTTGCAGCAGAGAACAAAAAACCTACGAAGGGCAAGCGTTCCTACTTGTTATAAGCTACTTACAAGACATGTTGCAGGTCCCACTGCTAAGTGTGCCATAAGTCCTTCGTAAGTTCCATAACTACACTTCTAAGTGTGTGAGACATGCAGCGGCACTGTGTTCTCACTGCCTTCTGCTTGCTCCGTAGGGGTTTGCGCGCGCGCAGGTCCGGGCAGCATCGCGCGGTCGGCGGGGGCGGCTTCCTTCAAGTAGGGAGGCTGCGCCGGCTCGTTCCCGGCAGCTGCCGTTGCTACAGGATCCGCCAAGTCGGAGCTCGGGTCCGCGGACGCCTCCTCAAAACACTCGTTTGACTTCAATATGCGGCAGGACAATGTCCAAAAACCGGCGCATGCTAACATGAACCGCTGAATTATGCAACCGCTAACATCAAAGTATCTCTTTTTTGTCGGAATTTTGCGACACGTGCCGCTGGAATAAAAACATATTTGCGTGACTGTGCGTCACGAGTTGCTTTGCCGTCGCCAAATCCTCACTGATGGCAGTGCCAGACGTGCCTTCGAATAGCTCCCCCAAATCGCATTTTCCGTGAGCCAGCAATGTCGACGGCCTCGCCCCCGTTGCAAAGAATTGTCCGCCTGACAACAGCCAGCAATAGCCTTTTGCGAGACCGCAAGTAGTTCCACGTGACCAGCTGTCGGTCGCCCGTGTCTCGTGGTTTTCAGGGGGCCAAATGCTTCCAAATGCCGGCCCGCCAGCCAAACACTGCACCTGCGCCAACATCTGTAACAGCTAAGCCCGCTCGATACCGGGTCTTCTAAGAAAGCCGCATGATGGCGTGCGAGCACTTAGCCCCAGCACCTGTTCCCGACGTGGCTTCTTTGTTGCAAACTTCAGCTTCGAGAAGCAGCCTTTCAAAATTCTCGCCTTTGGTGTAGCGCTGCTCTGTCCAGCTGCCCCCCCCCCCCAAAAAAAAAGGCTGCTCCAGCCGCTCCAGTCGCTTGTCGCTCCACCAGCCGTCAGCAAAACATACCCCTTTTCAACCTCATCGTCCCCAATCTGCTTCGCGGTTGCCATGCTGGCCCAAAACCCAATTTGCTACACTGAGTCTTCTTTTGCTTGGCTCACACGCGCGCGAAGGGGAGCTCCTTTGGGCAAATTTGGGGGGTGTGCGGGACGGTATAACACTTGTGACCTAACTAGTTTAATGATAAGTCGACTCCTGAGAAAAAGTGATTAGTTCTCTCCTGAAAACCTTGCTGTTGTCATTCTCGCTGTACAGACGTGGCTTACGACGGAAACGTAGTTCCAAGTTAGTTCCAAGTGTCTCGACTTCAAGCGAGTTGTTGCCGCATTCAAACGCATTGTTTTGGCTGTCTTTGGCACAGCTTGCGCTGGACTTGCACCTTCCTTGCGCCAGTCCGTGCTTGACTTGCGCGGCTGGTCTTGCTTGATGGGTCCAAAGCAAATCGGGGGAGGGGGGGGAGGAAAAGGCGGGGAGGGGGGGAGGGGGTGGGCCATTTTATTCATAAACACATTGACATGAAGTTTTTCGTTCGACTCAGCTGAGCTTTCACAAAGCCCGACCATAAAACCCCGAAAACCAATGACCCCGCAGAAATGGGAAGCTTGTAGCCCTGCGTGGACAAATCCAGTATGACTAGCCATTAGCCATATTAAAACCTGAGCAGTCCGCGTGAAGACAAAGCAGCTACTAAATGGACTTCCAAGCCAAACATGAGTGAGACAGCGGAAAACCGACATCTAAGGCATCTTCCCGTGACTCCGCCGTTCACGCTGACAGATTGCACATCCCAGCTTCAAGCCATCGGATTCAAGCCATCGGATTCGTTCGGCCCTTTTTGAGGTTGAGTTCAAGGGCAACCAACAGATTCAAAAGGAAGACCAGCATTTGTGTTGCTATGTGGCGCTCCCCTATTTTGACACACACACACACACCAACATCAGACTGGCGATTTGCCGGGCCACACATTCACTGTCAAGTCCGAGTCATCTGTGTGGGCCTTCAAGGACACGTCCCGGCCCTCCTGCACAAGTCACTGTGCGCCAAGGCGTTCGGTGCAAATTAATCACATGGAACCCCGCCCAGGTCGTAAAAGGGGCTGCTGGTACGCCAAGGATCCAAGCAACGAGGGCACAAATGGAGGAGAACAAGCGCAGCTGATTCCAGCCTCGTAATTGATGCAATAAGCTTGATGGTATGCAATGGGATGAGACTCCGCAAACAAGGCTTCGTCGACGATGCGCAGCACGTCCTGAGTAGAGGCCATTCAGCCGATACGATATGCGTGCTGTTCATCCAAGTGTCTGTCAACAGCCTATCAAAGAGGTCTGTGAAGCTGCCGTCAATCTTGTTCAGGTACCATCTTGCGCTCAACAAAAGGCCTGCAGCAGAAGAACATGCAGGCATGCCGTCCTTTCCGATGGGGTTCCATCGAGCGAATCTGTGGGTGACCGCCCTGACACGTTCCAAAGGCCTTTCATAGTGTAGTCTGAAGACTGAAACAACAGCACACAAATGGCACACAGAAAACAACCCTCCCCCCATATATATATATATATATATTTATTTATTTATTTATTTATCTATTTGTAGTTAAATATGGGTCTCCAAGCAGTCGTGGTGTCTCCTAAATCACCCACACCTCACAAGAACAGCTCTCCAAGCCGCCACTTCCCCGGTTGCTCTTTCGGCCCCCCCGTTTGCCCCCCCGGGCCTGGTGTCACCTGCTGCCTCTTCTCCGCCTCCTCACGCGCGCCCCGGGCGGCCGCCAGCAGCTGGGCGCAGAAGTCCGCGGAGAGCAGCGGCAGGGCAAAGGCGTCGCTCAGCTGCCGCGCCGCGAGGCCTCCGCTCCGCCGGGGCAACGGGGAAGCGTCTGACGCGGGGTTTTGGGCCCGTGGGAGGCTCTGAAGGGAGGAACCCCAGCAGTTGGGAGGAACCCCGACATCAATTTACCTCCGAACATGTCCGAAACTTGAACTGCCATTGCGGCTTGTATCGGCTTGTGTGGCTTTTGCTTTGACAGGATGGCAAGAACATGCCAAATTCAGGCATTTATATCAAGACAGCAAAAGCAGGCAAATTTGACTCCATCTTCTTGATTGTCCCAGCCTAAACTTGGCATCCAAATATGCTTGTTCTGTTTTAGCTGGGACTCTAGAGGAACTCATGAGACCTTGAAAGACCCTATAGCTCATGTTTTGGCGTTGGCTCTATTCGACTGAGAAAGGGGTGTTTTTGAGGGCTTCGACCAAAGAAAAAGGTGGTCTTTGCTCGTGACCAAACCACCTGGCCAAAAGTTGACTCCAGACTCCATGCATATCTGCTCCCGAATTGCAATCTGTGGACCATCTTGACGGAAGCTTCTAGCTGGCCCGCTTTTAAGCCTACCGCTGCCCAGTTACTCCGGATGTACAGGATTCCCATTTTAAATGTCATCCGCACAAGGAAACTAGTCACTAGTCACATGAAGCTCCAGTTTGTCGGTAGTTCAGCCCTGTCAAGTGCATGTGCGGAAGTGCACCAACTACCCCGAGATCTCAAACGTAAAAAGCATCTGTGGTCTTAAAGTCCCGTGGGTGACTTGATCGCTTCATCTCACCGCTCCAAGAACGCAATGGCACGATCTCAAAGGCGCCTCGGATCGCCGCCTGGCTGTGGAAGGCGTCGGTCGACCCAAGCTGCGTGTCTGTGCTTGTCTGTGTGTGTGTGTGTGTGTGTTCGAAAACGCGTTGACCCGCTCTCGGTATTCAAACAAACCAAACCTTTGGGAAGGGAAGGTCCTTAGGTGGCCAACCTCTCCGACTCCGAGCCTTGCAACCGACAATGAAGGATCCCAGGCCTCAAGTGAATCAAACATTCTGCTCGCAGCAAATCAAGTCACAAATTTTGACATGAGGTCGCTGCAGCGCCCATATTCACAGGAACAAACACACAGGACGCCTCAAGACAAATTGTGCACGACACCCAAGCCCATCCATACACATCTCGGATCACGTGGATGTGGACAAACAGACAGACAAAAAGCCGCACATTCCGAACACGAGGCATTTCCAGAGGCATTCCAACCCCCCACCCCCTAGGAATTCCCAGCGCCCACCCAGTGCCTTGGGATCTTTCTGTCGCAGCGCTTGCCGTAGCTCGGGCGCCAGCAGCTCCTCCAGCCTCGTGATGAAACCTCTCGTCGAACGTTGTCAAGTTGAAAACCAAAAACCTGGAGGGCAAGTGATCCAGTTGAAAATGATCTGAAAATGAGTTGGAGACTTTGAGTTGTTGGACGGAAAGGAGTTGAAAATGAGTTGGAGACCTTGTTCATTCTGAGCTCATGTCCAAGTGGCGTAAAGGCTGATGTTGAAACCATTCAAAAGGGAAATAGACACTCACTTCCTGAGTGCATTGGCCAAAAGAAAAACACACCTAAACTGTTTGTTGACCATTAAAAATGGTCTGACCAAAAAGCTTGGCTTCTGTTGACCCCTCTGCACAAAGTTTAACTTTCTGTGGGTTTCGTGGAAAACGCCTGGATTTCCCAAAAGTTAAAGTCTAAAGATTCTAAAGATCCAACCCAATAGCAATCAAGAAGGCTTAACATCCAGGACCTCAGGGAGTGGCTTCGTCGCCAGACCCCCAGCGAGCGGCTTCCCAGCCGGCCCGGGCCCGTCGCCGGCCCTCGTCTGACGGCCGCCCATCGGCCGAGGCACGAGGCCACGACTTTCCAGGTGAAAACTGTGCAGCATGTTGTTGTGCTGTGTCAGCATGACATCAGGTGCTATACCAGACAAGATGAATGCCGCCGTGTCAGGTGCTAGATGTTGTTGTCTTGGTATTTCTGCGCGAAACACATACAACACCTGCTGTTGCAGAATCATCTTTCATGTATCCCTCCGACCAAGCTCCATACACTTTCGCGGTGGGCAAACGACTGCTGGGCGCCACCATGCGCGAAGGTCCAGCCATGGCAATCATACCGGTCACAGGAACCCAGCAACCGCATCGGAAACATCAGCCACATCAGCGACATCAAAATTGTGGACCTGCTCTTGGTTGGTATTTGAAGGCAAGCAAAAGTAGCTTAACCAACCCTTCAATTTGGGGACATGACAAGGAGAAATCCCTGCGCCGGACCGCCTTGACAAAGTCGCGCCAGGGGTCCCCTCCGCCGCTCCTGGGATGCAACTTCGGTGTGCGCGCGACGATGGGCTCAGAGGGTAGGGCTTTGTCAAGTGGGGCTGAAAACCCCCGCCTCCTCAAGCCATAACAATCAGGTGGTCGAGGGATTCAGCATGAATAGTATACATACATATATATATATATGTCTGAGTTCCTGGTTCGCCAATGTGCATCATCTGAAAAAAAGTCACATGGAACCCAGAGTCTCTAAGCTGCATCCACAAATGGATGCCTGGGAGGCTCCATGTCAGCCTTCAGGGGTGGATGTTCCCCAAGAATGGTCATTTTATCTGCATCCTCGTTCAACTGAGGCACCTGAAGAATTGATTGGTATAGAAAAGAGCCAGCCATGCCACTGACACAATCATTCCTCTTCGGCCACTGCATTCCGCTGCATGAATGGAGATTGCGGCACTGGTTCAAAAGCCGCAAGCAACATGAAGTGCAAGGCGCATGGAAGGTGCCAGTCACATCTAGCGAATTTCAGCCCTTGCTGTTCAAAACATGTTCTATGCAAAGATTCTCCAAACTGTGCTCGGTGCCAACAAACCCAGCATGGCTCAAACAACTCATGCTCGAATCGGCGGTTGACCACGTTGACATCTGTGATACCTTGGCACATGGGGTCTGGCTCTTTTTCTGAGAGCGTCCTGGTAGCCGATGGGTTCCACCCCTGCCATTTTTAGACGCAAGGGTCACACCGGGGAGCCAGGCTCATAGACTTTGTTCATGCCAGACTTGACCTGAAGGCCGCTGACAAAACAACGCCGATGCGTCCAAAGGGAAGGATTGCTTACACGCATGCAAAAACACCTCACTGAAACATGGTAGGATCTTCACAAGTGCTTGGTGTCGTGGGCCCTTGACATAGGATATGTTGCTACTTCCCACAAGGAACATGCACGCGCAGTCCACACGCTGTCACAACAGCAACTAAGCCTGGGATGTGGTGCCTGATAGAAGCACGGCAAGGCAATACGCGTATGCATTCCTATATGGTAAACAATAAACCGCCCATGGATGGAGCTTGGAATTGTAATCCGGTCAGAAACACAAGCAGTCATCAAGCTGTGCGCGTGCTGATCAAAACAACCAATCCCAAGCTTGGTGGTATTGATTCGTTTCTCTCACATAGCAGCAGGTGAAGTGCTCAAACGTGAACAAGGCCGCTCGCATCAGCCCAAAAGCAAAGACAATTTCTTCTGACCGTTCCTCCTGACCAATAGGACCAAACGGCAGGCAACCGCAAACAACGTGCCCCAGTCTTAAGTTGCTCCAATGGATCTTTGTTGGCCCTTTATGTTGAAACACGCCCTGCACATCCTAACATCGCTCTTGCCGGGCTCTGTATGGTGATGCTGAACATCAAACATGGGGGAACAAAAAAACATCATGGAAGCCAACAAATGATCAAGCATCCCTTTGATGCGGAATGCGCCAGCCTCTCATGTTCCCTATGCCCCATCCCAAGGACCCGAGACCTCACTGAGTCTGGCGCCAGGGTCAGGTCCCAGGCCAAGATCCTTGCGAAGCGCCGCTGGCTTCCGTGGAAAAGGTGATAGCCCTCACAAACCTGGGCTGTCCTCAAATCCCCCGCTCAAAGTTTAACTTTTAGTGCCCCGCATGACGATGTTTCGTTACGTGGCCAGTGGTGAAATCACCACGAACCACGAACGGTTGGTCAATGAATGAATTTGTGCACGGAATTTAGTGGGATAAATGGAAATCCCCACCAATCACTAAAAGGCTAAAAAGCTACGGGGATGGATGGGAGCCACCAAGAACCTAAAGGCTCCCTCCGAAGCGCTCCCCGTTCACACCGGCCTCACGTCTTTGAACTCAAGCTGTTACGGCTCAAAGGGCATCCCATCGGCATTGTCTGAAACGTGCATTACAGGCCTTTCCGAAGCCAACGAGTCTCCACTTCCATCGTGAAACAGTTCACCTGAACAACTCAGCCAAATGCAGGGTCCCAGCCCAAATCTGGATATTCTGGAAATGCTGGCACCAGGCAGTCATGTGTTTCCCATGAGAATAGGTTGCAATGTGTGCCCTCGGGTCGTTGGCGGGGGTTGACTCCATTGGCGAATGCCAAACTCTCAACAACGATGCCCCGCCGAGACGGGTATACGCCGGCAACGCACGAAACACTTGATACCATTGCCCACCTTTTTAGGCAACACCACTTGCTAAATGTTGCTTTCAACATGAGTCGTGGGGGCATCCAAAGATATCTGCATTTGTCGCACAAAACGTGGCATCCGCAGGGTACGGTGTGGAATGAAACTTTCCATCTTCCCCTGTCGGTATGTTCCGACCTTCTGCACCCTCTTCCACGGTCCACCTTGTATCACCTTCTCCCTCCCAGACTCTTTGCCGATTCCGGCCCTTTGCAGGGGAGGCCTAGTGTCCAAAGTTACCACTTTTCAGCCAGCCAGTCGCAAACCGCTGCTTGCACAATTGCCTTGCGCTTGCAAGGCAGGTCTGATACGTCAGGCCAACCGCTTGGGTCCCAAAATCGGCCCCGTGGATGCTCGAAGTGATACCAAGACGACCCCATGTTTGGAGGTAAGCCTCAGCTTCCCATGGCGGTCCTCCCCTCATGATCCGCACTGAAAAGCACCTGAGCCACCTGGCCAATTCGCGAGCCCCACAAAACCCCCCCCCCGGATTTCTCTTGCCAAAGCTGTGGGTCTACTGAGGGGTTTCGTCTACGCTAGCTACACAAAAGGAACTCCTCTAACACGGGCGCACAAGGTGATGCTGAAACCACACACAGAGCAGAAACATGACTGGCAAATGCCATTGACATCCTTTGACACATGGGTCATGGGCAGGGGAAGTGACTGCAGCCTTGAAACGACAAGTAGCATAAACAGCGAAGGCCACAATGCCAAAGCTGCGCGCAACAGGCTAGCTGCTTCGCAGCATCTATTTCTGTTGTGTCAACATGTGGTGGCCTTCCACATCGTTGGTTTCTTTCAAAATCCGAATACCAGCTCCAGCTTGTGCTCAAGGGCAAGTCAGTGAATCTGCTGGACAAATGCAATAATACCTGCAATCCGTGTTTTGCAAGGTAAGGCCTCACATGGGAAGCCCACATCCCACAAAACTTCTTTCAGGAAGTCAGTAGCTACCAATGTACCTTCTCACCATGGCAACGTGCTAAGCAGACCATAAAGCAAGTATGTATATATGCATATATATATATTATGTATTACATATATATATATATATATTATGTATTATATATATATATATATATTATGTATTATATATATATATTTTTGTGAGCTACTACAAGCCATCAAAATCAACATTGAATTGGGTCTTTCAGTCGATGGTCCCAGGTATCGGTTCCCAGGTATCCTTTTGGGGTTCTGAGGAAGCCAAAACCAAACCACCCGTTTTGCAGGTGCATCCCTTTTGGAGACAAACCCACATCTTCCAAACACAAAAACACCCACAGTCTGTTTGACTCAAGAAGTGCGGGACATCGCGCCATGTTCTCGCTTGGACATGACAGCTTGAATTCGAGAAAACAGAGGCAGCTGCATTTCTTCAGCTATCGCCACAAATGCTTGAACAAGCTTGCTGTTGCTCAGTAGGGAATGACCCAAGGTGTTGGGAATGATGCTAGGGATGTCCTTAAAGGGAGCCATACTGTGGATGAACGAAATCCTGCCCCACTTGGAAACAATGGGACACCATTGTTTGTTGGTATTTACAGGGGAATCGTATCATTCCAAATCATGTTCCCCTCGATTTCCCGCACAAGCCCAAAAAAGGGTACCTTGAAAAAAGTCCCCTTAGGTTGCTTTTTCGCCAATGCTCTCAATATTCCCCGGGCAAGTCTTATATAACTTGCTGCTGTTTACAGCTCGAATTTGTTCGATTGTTGGTTTGAAGGTGCGGCTTCAAATCCCGAAACCAACACTCCAAGCCACTAAGTCGGGCCTACCTAAGTTTAGTGGGAAAGGTCATCACCTTCCAACAAAAAGGTTGAAGCCGAAACATCCAGCCACATGGGCCCGGCGCGCCCATAACTCTGAGGCGTTTCTTAGATGGTGCGAAATGGATTTCGTCCATCCACTGAGTAGGGAATGGTTTAGACGGGGGTCACTCCACTTCTCATTCGCGTCAGAACCAGCGGATCGCTTTTCGCCCTGCGGAGTGCACCGTGGCACTGCCACCGCGCCTCGCTCCAGCACAGCACCAGCTGCGCCGTCTTGGTCTCGATGCGTCTGGCCAACCTGTGAGCTGCCAGAGCAGTGAACGGGGTGAAGCGGCAGAAAATTGGTCCTAGTGGGTCAAAACCCAAATCGCTTAGCCCCCAGTGAACGGGACCCAATCCAACCACTGAAATAGACTAAAATGGAGGTGCACCCACTAAAATAGGTTCTAAAATGGGTGGTGAATTCACCTACCAACCAAAATGGGATCCCAAAACGGTTGTGACAACCACGGCCAATTGGTTCCAACGAAGGGGGTTGAGGTCTTCGCCCCGGCTTTCGGGCGCCGGCTCAGCGCTGAGATCTTGAGGGCAGGTCTTGGGTTTCTTTGGGGTGGGGCTCGGCAAAGTGTCCAGGATGCTCCTGGGTGTTTAGGATTGACCTTGGGTCGGCTTGGCTTGGGGCTGATTTGCGATAGGTTGTAGCAGTGGCTTTCGGGTGGCTTTGGGGATGTGGTTGAGTGAGTTCTGGGAGTTGCCCAACAACCGATCCCAACCACCAGCCAACCAAATAGCAACCTGACCAGGTTAAGCCCCTGCCGGGGTTAGCCAAAAGCAAAAACACTCCGAACATGGTGGGTTCTAACAAATGAGCATCCTGCAATCATCATAATCTCTGGCTGGAAGGGGTACTTCCATGATATGGGCCTCCCTTCAGGCCCTCAACTCCCCCCGCCCAAAGCTTGGGTGATTTCGCCTTGCCAAAACCAAACAATGCAAAGCCGCACTCGCCACTCGCCACTCACCATGTAATCGCTCAGGTCCAGCCCCGAGGCCGGCACTTCAAGCCGTTGTCGGCGTCGAAAAAGGAGAGCGTCAGGTCAGAGCCTCAGCGCGGCTTCTCGCGGCAAGGCGCGGCGTTGAGTCAGGTCGTTCCATGGCGCTCCTGACGAAAGGCCTGGACAAACACTGCCGCTCTCAGCGCCACTTGCATTGAACACCCCTCTCTTTCATCTTGGCGAATGCAAGGATATGATTCGAAGGAGGGCAGTGCTATCAAACGAAGGGCCTCAACGCATGCAGCATTGATTGTCTGCATCTTTTCACAATCCCCATGTCAAATCAAACCGTCAAAACGGGCAGCAATCTGCTTCAAAACACACGTTGAATGGAGAACAGCAATGTCAGCTAGACATATTGGAGCCCCCTCAAGTGGAAGAGAAAATGGTAAGTTTATGGCTCAGGCGGAATCCGGAAATGCACTTTGAGAAGCCGACAGGAAACCGCCACATAGCTGTACCTGAGGAGAACTGCACATCCACGTTTCTGGACAACTGCAAAGGCTCTGGGCTTTGTTCCTTTCTTGTCTTCATCCAGCAACCTTCTGTTCCAACCCAAAACACACACAACTGACACCTGGCCGTCAGAGCAACTCAAACAGAACCTGCCTCCCGCCAGATGCTGGGGTCGAAGGACTAGCCTTTTCAAACAACATCGCTCCTCAGAGAAAGTTCTCCTGTTGATCAAACTTGAAACGTATTTCAGCTCGCATCCTCCAGCTAGCCCATGGTTCTTGGCTCAACCTGACTCGGACGGTTGCACATATGTACTTGCTATCAATAAAAGCAACACATTGGTCTGAACAACATGCACCTCGCTTCGTAATGAGGTTTCCGTCGAGGGCCAAGCGACCGTCATCACCTGGGCACTTGTCAATGTACTCCGCGCAAAGGGGGGTCTGTGTGAAGTCCTTGATCTCAAGGTACGGCTGCATGTCAGGAGTGCACCTTGAAACGTCTCATGCCCACCCACCCACCCACCCCCACACCCACCCCCACCCCCACCGCCACCGCCACCCTCACCCCACCGCCACCGCCACCGCCACCCTCACCCCACCCCACCCCACCCACCCCAACACACAATCACACACACAAACACACACACACACACACACACACACGGCTGCCTGGTCTTTCTTAGTGACGCATTTCAAAGGGTTGGGACTGCAGGATTCCACGGGCGTGGCATTGTTGACCGCTGGGGCGGGGGCATCTTCAGGGACTTGCTACCCTGCTCCACAAAGGCGACCTTGTCGTAGCCTTTGAAGTACACCACCTGGGCTGACCGAAAACTCCGGGAAGATGTGGTGATTTCATGCAATCGGCAAACATCTTTGGAACTATCCATTCCAACATCCTTCCCCACAGGATCTGTCGAGCATGACTCATCCTTTGCTTATGTCCCCTGCAAAAGATAAAACTATTGCTGGTAGCGATATTTTCCCTTTAAAACCAACACAGGGAAATAAAACCAAAACAAAAAAGCAAATGGAAGTCATCCTTGGAGCGCCAACCCGCCGCATCTCTCGAACCGTGAAAAACGCGAAAACGCGGAATGCGGCGCCCGCGGCGCATGCGCCGCCGGCGCGCCTTTTCGCAGTGCGACTGGTGGCCGTTGCCGTCCTTCAAAGGAGACCTCGCACTCGCGAGGATGCGGCAAATCCAGAGGGAATGCAAACATAGGGATCAACCAAGGTGGCTGGGTGGCTGGGTGGGCGGGTGTGTTGGTTGGTGGGTTGGCTTTTCGCGCTTCCTACAAGAAAGCTTGGCCCTCAAGGTGCACCCCAGGTGCATCGGTCTTTTCATCACGTTTTAGTCCAAGGCTGCGACTGGCTAAAGCGGATGATGTTGTACTGCTGAGGCACGTCCTGGAGACAGCAACTTTTCTTGAGCCCCATGCAATGCCGCCGACACAATGCTCTTCCACAGGCTGGAACCCTCGGATTCACACATGTCTGTGCGAGAGCTTGCCTCACCCAGCAAGGGGAAGCTGACTTGCTGGCCCATGTCCAGCTTCCAGTTCCGGACTTTATGAGCTCGGATGCAAATGGAGCACACATCACACGGACACATGGCACTTCCGGTATGGTTCTGGCCCTAACATAATTGTGGAAGACCAGGGCCAGGCATCACAAAGCCTCTCATCTTAAGCGCGGAACAAAGCTCACCCTCCGGAAATTGTAAGACAAACACCTTCAGCACATTGTGCTCTTAAGGCAACATGGACATCTCCGGTGCATTTGTACTACTGGCGACGTTTAGCAACAAGAACAAAAACACCATGGGCGCGTGCGACCCGCTGCCAAAACCCAAAACACATTTACTTGCTTTTCCGATCAGGTTGCGCCAATGCGCAGGATACCCAGGGTTGCAAGGCGCAGTAGATGAGATGAGCTAGATCCATTGCGTGAAGTTGGCGGTTCCGTGTCTAGGTCAACATGCCAGGTCCAGCAAACTTCCAACAGCCAAAAGCCCGCACAGCCTTGTCACAGTATGAAACAAACGCATTCCTTGTGTACAACTCATTTGTATCTGGTCACCATACCGCGTCTGCTGCCTCAAAACACAGGATACATGTCAGCGCACCTCTGCCATCCCTTGATCCACCAGGAAGGCGGTAAACTCCTGGCAGACGGAGAAATCCATTTCTCCCTACAACCTGGGATATACTCAGGAGATCAAGGACCAAGGAAGATCATGCCAAATCAATTTGTGCTCTCATCTTGCCACTTGTGAAGTTTGGAAGCCAAAAGCTGAACGATCGAATGTGCAGTGCGGGCGAACCCTGCCTGACAGCGTTTCGACACAGCTTGTGGGTCAATCTGTGCAACTCCTTGTTCTCAAGGAGTGATTCTCTTGAGAAACCAATCCTGCAGCTAGCCAAAACGTGATCTTCCAGAGCTGGATTCTCTTGCGAAACCAATGCATGCAAGATCTCCTTCCCGAACAAAAGAGCGACGAACAGGATGCGCCATGCTGTTTCAGGGCTTGCCCTCCCCAGTCCTCCCAGGTCATGCTCCCATTGCAGTCCACATCGATGGCATCCTCAGCTCAGCCCTGCATCCCTTGGATAGAAAAGAGCACCCCGCATGGCAAGTGGCAACCAAATGGTGGCTTCTTGCAATTCATGCATCAACACACATATATATATATATATATATATATATATATCCGCCGACCCTCTGCCTCCCGTCCCAGCCTCCTGCAGAGGGGACCGGCGTGGGATGCAACTGGAAGTGATTGGAATCAATGATAGTCCCTAAGGGACACGCCCGAACCCACAAAAAGTGGATTCCCAGGACCGGTCCCGGGACCGGTCCCGGGACTGGTCCTGGGACCAGGGACCGGTCCTGGGACTGGTCCTGGGACCCTGGTTCTGCTGTTTCAGATTACTTGTAGTCAGCCAAAACCTGGGACCCGTCCGGGACCCGTCCCAGGCCCGGTCCCGGGACCAGTCCCAGGACCGGTCCTGGGACCAGTCCTGGGACTG